GCGGAGCCCGCATGCGCAGACCGATGTGTTTGCCAGCTCCGGTCCTCGGTTGGAGCGCTCTGGTCGCCGAGGTGCGACGGCCGCCCTTAAGGCGCTAGCGCGTTCCTATTCCCGCGGCGGGCGATGCTGTGGACCCGCGCTGTCCGAGCTGAAGAACTGGCTTGTAGCTGGTGGGTCTGTCAATGAACAGTTGCGTTTCTGTGAATGAGGCACGCAGGAAGTTTTCCCGGCTGTTCTTTTTGCGTAAGTTGCAACGGGATAGGAAAGTGATAAATCCCAAACATTGCCAGTGAATCGGCAACACTTTTCTTAGCATCGACTGCAGTTTCTTTCCTTTAAAGATAAAGTGCATATTATCATAAAGGTGTTGCTAATCATAGCGATCTAGGATAAACCATAGTCAAAGATGACGGAGGCAAAAGAGGGACCCTTCGTTTGGAGGGGGTACATAGCAGTTGACTATGATCGAAGTATACTGTATGTATGCATGTATGAATATGCCATTATGAAGGCCATTGCAATTATCTTGTGTCAATAAACTTTCCAGGATAAAGATAAAATTGAGAGGTTTGCCAGAGAAAAAAACAATCTTTGTTGTGTAGATTGTGATATTGTGCAGACGGCCTGTGAATCTTTATGCTGTTGGTCCAGAATTCAGAATCCTCCTGCCTTGGACTCCCAAATGCTGGCATTATAGGTATGCACCTCAGCCCTCTAGCCTGAATTAATTTCTTAGATAATGTTTATTGGATGCCTATCGCAAACACATGGGCCTTGGGGTCCACAAGTATCAAGCTCACCACCGGATCCAAAGAGAAGTTTGGCTGTGTTATGCCCACCTTCCTTCCAAAGGGACTGGGAGCTGCTTCAACCATCCCTGAGTATCAGGCTGGAGGGAGCAGCGCCTCTGACCTCTTACAACTCAACTATTTCTGCTAAACTCAGTCATTGAACAATCTGCTTTGGCTTTATTAAAATCCCCCAAGACAAAAAGCTGGGCATCCTAGAGCTCGCCTTTAATCCCAGTACTCAGTAAGCAGAGACAGAGGCAGGTGGATCTTGTGAGTTCAAGGCCAGCCAGGTCTACAAAGTGAGTTCTAGTGAGAAGCCCAGTCTCAAAACAAAAAAATTAAAAAAAATCCCCAGACAAAGAAATGGTCCAACAGGCAATAAATCAAATCATTTAAACTAGTCAACTCAAATGTATTTCCCTAATGGTCCCTCCATGTAACTCCATGAATCAGTGTCTCTAAGGAAAAGTCATCCGTGTTATCCTTACCTGCTTCTTGAAAGCCTAGCAACCTGCCTTTGAGGTAATCAAGGATTTTGCTCCATGACAAAATACCTGATTGCCTACTCCTGGGTTCCCAGAGAGTCCATTCCCTAGAGCAGACATGTTTGCAGCAACCAGTTGTTTTCATACTACTTTCTTCATTAATATTTAGAGTTTGGATTAAATCTATGGATTGTGTGTGTGTGTGTGTGTGTGTGTGTGTGTGCGCGCACACCATTGTGTGCATGTACCAGTAGAAGATAGAAGACATCAGGCATAGAAACCAAACTCCAGTCCTCTGCAAAAGCAACAAGTTCATTTAACCACTAAGCCATCTCTCCAGCCCCAAATCCATAGTTTTGTTTTTTTTTCCCAGAAAGCAGTCGGGGTCAGAGATCCCCCCCCCCCACGCTATTAGGGTCCTGTGGTTATAGATTAAAGGTGAACAGAGAAAGGAGGAAAGAGTTTGTTGATATCTGCACTAGGCAGATCTCAAGTTGATTCGGTTGTAAGTAGGGTTTACTTGATTACTATGTATCAATTTAAATAGACCGGAAACTTTTATACAGACCGCCCTAAGCCTGGTCCTTCTCATTGAGTATTTTTCTTACTATGTGGCACTATTGCCAACTTCTAGCGGCTTGGACGAAGTGTATGGAAATACTATTAACATCGCCATCACTAAAGTTGATACTGTTGCCCTTATTAGCAAACAGAAAGTGTTGGTGTCCCAAGACCTTGGCAACACTCAATGTGTGCCCAGAGGAGGCAAGGCCTGAGGAAAGAAAGATGCAAAGAGGTCCTGGAGCTTTCCTGCAAAGCCTTGACCCTGGCATCTCTTTCTACGCTCCCGGCCTCCCCTTTTTCACCAACCACATCCTACTTCCTCAACAGGTCCAGGGCTCCTGTCCAGGCCCCACCTGGCCCCTTCATTCTTTCAATGATGTGTCCACAATATTTTTAAGCAATTAGTAGTTATAAGACAGTGTTCTTCACACGTATGCTAATTTTTCAAAAATGAGTCATAATATGTCCCCTTTCCTAAGGGGAACAAGCCTGGGACTTTTAAAGAGGGGGACTTTTAAAAAGCTTTTATTAAACTTTAACAGTGTCCTAAGGACACTAAGACTTCACCTGTTACCACATTTCATTTTGTAGTAACACTGTGGGATTGGGTACAGTTTTGCTATTTTTTAAAAAAGCACATTTTTTTTTCTAAAATTAATTTTATTGTATACAAGATGGTATTTTAGTATGTGTATTACTTTAATATATATATTGTATCACATATAATATATATAGTAGAACAGCTAAAGTAAGCTAGCATCTGTTACCTTAGGCAAAGGTCCAAAGACTCTTCTGCTCCTAGAAAGCAACTGCAAACAAAAACTGCTACTAATGAGGTTCAGAGGGGCCAGAGTCCATCCCAAGCTGACAGCCAAACTTGGCAGTATTATCCGAAAATTTGGCAGGTCATCCATGTGGTGCTGGTTTCAGAAGCATGAATGATGCAACAGTAAAGAGGCTGTAGATTCTTTGTTCACAGTTTGAGAGTCGCTGAGGTCAAGCAGTGTGTGTCAGGGTAGTTGCTGTATAAGGGTCTGAGAGGTCACTACCTCAAGCTGTGGAAAAGAAGCCTAGGCTGCAGTGGAGACCCCCAGGATGTTAGAGATGCCAGAGCTGGGTGATATTTGCCAAGGAGAGCTACATACAGGAAGTAAAACTAGGCTGAGAGAGAGAGAAAGGTGTAGCAGGAAGCAATGCTTGAGGGGTGAAGCCAATAAGGCCCTTGACATCTGACATTGAACTACAGGATTTGGACCCTACCCTGCTGGGTTTCCATCTACTTTGGTCTGTGATTTCTTCATTATGCCCTTTTGGAATGGTAATGTTTATTCTGTGCTTTTATATGTTATATGTGTCATTTAATTTTTTGATTTTATGGGAGGTTACAATTAAGTTATTGCCTTGAGGATCAGAAGAGACCATTTCCAAGAGTGTATTAGTTACTATGCATCACTCTGAGCACTGTACCCAACAGAAACAACTAAGAATCTAAAGGACTCATTTGATTTCATCCTGGTTTTAGTCCATCATGGCAGGAAAGGCATGGTATGATGAAGCCTCTCAGTGCCTGGTGATGGGAACATGTGGCAGAGGCTGTTCCCATTACAGTAGAACAAGAAGCAAGTGAGGAACCGGGGTATTATTACTCAAAGGTCTACTGTTGTGTTGGACTTCTTCCACTTGGGCCCCACGACCATAGGCGCTCTAGACCTCCAAAATAGCACAACTATAGGAAGAACAAGCATTCAAAACATGAGCATGTAGAAGAGATTTCAGGGTCACACCTTAATGAAGACCCTCTGAAAATTGAGTGTATGTGTTACATGTGTGCTCATGCTTGTGTTTAAGCAGGTTCACTTATATGTATGTGAAGGGAGGAAGTCAGTGTCAGTTCAACAATCTTTACTGTCACGGTTTTCCTGCCATGATAAACCATATCCTGGAACTGGGAACCAAACCGACCTTTCCTTCTTTAAGTTGTTTTTGTCACGGCAACATGTAAAGTGAGGCTTGTGCAAAACACCATACTGACTAGGCCATCTCCCTAGCCCCAAATCCTCTCTTAAAGAGTATTTTTTTACAGGAAACATTAGAAGGTATCTTTATATACTGCATTAGTAATTTTCTATCATTGTGATAAAGCGCATCTTTTGACAGAAATAGACCATGATGGCAGAGCAGAGTAAGGAAGCAGTGGACACTGGAGCAGCAGCTGAGAACTCACATTTCCACCTGCATGCAGGAGGCAGAGAGCACACAGGGGATGGAAGGAGACTCTGGCAGCCTTGAAGCCTGCCCCCAGTGACACACCATACCAACAAGGCCATACCCCCTAATCCTTCCCAAACTGTTCTACCAACTGGCGCAACTGGAGCCAAGTATTCAAACATATGACCTATGTGGGCCATACTCATTCAAACCACCATATAACCCATGCCCACTCCCCTATAATAACACCTCGCATTCATATGAGATTTCATTAGTCCACACCAAGGCTTCAGGCCATCACCATACTGTACAAGGTAAGTATTTATCAGATTTCTCCACTGTGAAGCCAAACTCTGCCTGTGGGCTCTAGTTTTTGGAAGAAACCACTTGTACGCCCTGTGTGGGAGGAGATGATTTCCCCTTGAGGCCAGGGAATCCACATAAATTATTTGGAAGTCACAGAAATTAACTCTTTTCTCCTTTTCTTAACTTATCCCAGTATCCATTTATGTTAGTATCGACTAATTCTGTCTAACAGTATACTGCTTTGTTTATTGTATTGCTCAGATTTTTCTAGATGATGTTACAGGGAACACCTTCAGTTGGCTTCTTTTCCTTTTAAATTACCTACTATGGTTATGCATCTCCACCCCTACCCCAGAAGCCTTTCTTTTAATTCCCTGCTCTGGTCATAGCCATGTTTGAAAAATATGGAAATAATTTCAGAAATGGCACAGTAGAAGCTCGGCTGACTGTAGAGATCAAAGGGAGGTCAGGTTAATCAGTAACTTCTCCAAGAGTGTCTCATTCCTTTTCTTGAGAAACAGTACTAGAAACCTCCATCTGCAGCAATGTGTGCTGGTAACGCTGGAGTGATTGCTTGTAGGCTCCTCTTAGTTAACTGTGCAAAGACATGTGCATGTGCGTACACATGTGCACATGCATGTGTGTATACATGTATGTCTGTTCTATCCTGCACTGATAGCAGTGATACATACGTCACTAAATATTTCTACAGATAACCTATGGTCATATAAATGAGATTTTAAACTGCCAGTCTCAAATGCTAATCTCTTGACTCAGGGATCAACATGCCCCATTCTTGTCTATAGTTTCTCATTCCAAAGGTAAAAGGAACCCACTCCTGACTTCTGTCTTCCATGTGTCAAATCATTCAGTTCTGATTCACATGTATAGCCACATCACTTGAGATGCTTTGCCTGGCTCACTATGGTTCCATCACTCTTCTGTCTCTCTCTTCTCCCCTCTCCATTGTAGACTCCCTACCCCACTCAGGTTTCATCACTCCTCTCTCTCTCTCTCTCTCTCTCTCTCTCTCTCTCTCTCTCTCTCTCTGTGTGTGTGTGTGTGTCTGTCTGTGTCTCTGTCTCTGTGTCGCTGTGTGTGTGTGTGTGTGTGCTCTCTGTCTGTGTCTCTGTCTCTCTCTCTGTCTCTCTGTCTCTCTGTCTCTCTCCACCATAGACCTCTCCAATGCTGGGATTCTTGTTTGCTGACCCCTTCTACAATCCCAATGGCAGTTCCTTTTACTATACTTATTACTAAAACCATCTTTCTACTTAAATTTTGTTCCTTCATTGGCTTTTCATCCTTAAAATTCAAATCATAAGTCATAAGTTTGGTTGGGATGAGAGTCTGGTCTTTCTCTGGAAAAAGAAGTGGCTGTCAGTCACTTGTTTGCTCTCCATTATCTAGGAAGACTGTCTGGCAGAGTTGCTACCAGATGTAGGAGGCAGGCCGCTGCCACACTGCGGTGGGGATGGCAGGGATGAGCAGGGATCATAGTACAAAGTGTGCTGTGTGGGAATAATTTTAGAACAATAGACACTTTGCCTGATCATAGTTATCAAAAGGGAAAGAGATTGCTCAAATAGGACTCTCGTGTCGCAGTCTGGGGATGGCTTTTTCTGGGGCATAGTTCAATGAGACCAAAAGTGCTTTTTCTCTCTGGTGTTTGAATGCTAATGAGGCTTAGTGCTGGCAGAGTGATCCACATGATAACAACTCTGATAGAAGATAGAAACAGGATCCCTTTGGGGATCCTCCGGGGATCATGGGAAGTGTTGCCATTTGTCCAGATGGTGTGAGTGTACTGTGATGCTGGATGTCTGCATGCATGCTTGAGAAGTGTGGTTTGAAAGAAAATGGCCCCCAAAGGGTGTGGCACTATTAGGAGGTGTGGCCTTGTTGGAGAAGGTATGGCGTTGTTGGAGGAATGTGTCACTGAGGGAGTGAGCTTTGAGGTCCCTTTTGCTCAAGTTTCACTCAGTGTGACCCTCAGTCTACTTCCTGTTGCTTGCATATCAACATGTAGCAGCTCGCTCTCTCCAGAACCAGGCCTACCTGCATGCTGCCATGCTCCCCCACTGTGATAATGGACTAAACCTCTGAAACTGTAAGACAACACCTCAATTAAATGTTTTCCAAAAGTTGTGTTACGGTGTCTTGTCATAGCAATAGAAACCCTAGGACAAGGCAGGAGGGACATGGACAGGAGACTATGACTCTTTCTGGGTTTTCATGTCTCCATCTATAAATCCTCTCCAGGGCAGGAATTTCCTGGTGAGTTTTAAGAACTAAAAACTATCATTGTCAAAAGGATAATTTTGAGCAAAGGTTCCACATCCTATGACATAGGAAATTCTTTCTTGTCTGATCTATAGCAGTCAAAAGTAATTATAGAATGGGGTAGAACCCAAAAGTCCCTAAAATGACACATGGTTTTGCTCTGAACAACAGCGATAAGAAATGGGGAGCTGATCATTGATTTTGGACTGTATCGGCCAGAACTGCATTGTACCTGTCAGACTGTCTATCTAAAGGGAGGATGTACAATGGGTCTTCAGAAGCACAGGTCCTGCTAGGCCTTGGGTTCTTAGATAAGAATCAGAAAAGTCCCCTTTTCTTCAGACATCTTACATCCATCTGTCAGGAAATTGTCATAATAAATACCTACTCTATTGTCTGTGACACTGTATGGATATACAAGTGTACATCTTAATTGCATCCAGGAAAGGAAATGGAGTTGAGTGATAAGGTAAAGGTAAAGGAGAAAAAAAGGAAGAAACTGCCTTCCCTGTGCACTGGGGGCTGTGGAGCTGGATAGCTGGATCTGCTCTAATGGGGTTTCCTGGAGCACAGCCAGGTAATGATTACTAAGGCAACTGCAAGGAGGCAAACTGCTGCAACATGAGAAGCATTCATAAAATAGTCTGTCTCCTCATGTCCTCCAGCTCCACTCCACTGACAAAAAGATACAGTGTCAAGGGCAGACACGGAGATAGGGGATGGGACTGAACTGAGTCAAAGGAACAGGGGAGGGGAGGTCTTCAGGAAACTATTCAGCTCATAACACAGACAGGAAGACAGTCACTTTGTGAAGGTGATCATCTTGAAGGACAATATTCATGGGGACCCATGCAAAAATCAAGCATTTTGCTATCATACTTCCTGTGCTTGTACGTGACCAGCATAAGGCCAAAGCAGAGACCATGATTCGGTGACAAGGTCTCCATCAGAAGGTAGTGTGTAGATTTCACCTGGGACGGGAGGGGGAGCTTTTAATGTCAGTGGGACAGAACTAAAACTCCTAGCAGAATGAAACTGAGTTGGTGGGGGCGGGGTGTGTGTGGAGCAGAAGGCTCCATGCAGGGACACCCATTCGTTAAAGCACAGAGGGCCCAGGTAAATATGCAGGATTCAGGGGAAGTTGAGTGAAGGGGGGGGGCGGCAGTTCCAGAAAGCACAGGTTCCTGCTCCCTTCGAATGCTAAAATAAGCTTATTCCTGAATCAAAATTGGCTCTAGAGACATTTACAGCAGAAGTGGGGAACTCCGAATAACATATCTTCAGTAGCATTTATAAATAACACTAAGGTAAAGTAGCATCACCCATATGATCCTCAGGCATGGAAAAGAAGAGCATTGTAAGTACATAATGGAGGACTTGGAGAGATAGCTCCCTCAGTAAAAGTGTCTGCTGTACAAGCCTGAGGACCTGAGTTCAATCCCAGACCTCATGGTAGGGACAAGAAAGCTAGGCATTGTGGCCATGGAGCAGTCACTACAGAGACTTCCAAATGGTCCAAGTCCAGAGAATAGGTGACAGCTAAAAGTGAGGCATCTAGGTCGTCCCTGCAAAGCTGGAGGACATCTGGTGGAATGGGGGCAGAAAGAGGACACTTCACCTTCCAACTCACTACAGGAAGTAGACCAGCATTTTATGCCAAAGTCTATGTGTTACAGATATAAAAGAAGGAGAAGAATCTCATTCTAATGCATAGAAACCATTTTTTTAAAAGTCATAACAGAAATTTTCTCCTGGAGTTAATAAAAGACATACCAATCCAGACACAGGAGGCATTTGTTCAGGGTACAAAACAGAGAAGATGAGAAGAGAAGCTCTCCATCCTATTGTAAGGGGAACCCTAAATATGCAGAATAGAACATTGTATTGAAAGCAGCAGAAGGAAACATCAAGTCACATATAAAAGAGAGCCCATGGGAAGAACAGCACTTCTTCAACCAAACTTTAAAAGCCAGAAGGGCCTGGAATGATGTCTTTCAAGTTCTGAAAGATAACAATTGTCAAACCAGCATACTGTGTCCAGCAAAGCTGTCACAATTGAAGGAAAAATAGAAGCTTTCCACTATAGAAACAGACTAAAGGAATTTATGGCCTTGCTAAAGAAGATACTTGAAATTTATGGCCTCGCTAAAGAAGATACTTGAAGGAATCTTCCAGACTGAAAAAAAAAAAAAAAACCAACCAAACAATAACAAGAAAACCAAAACACAAGGCCATATAAAGAAGGTGGTGGTCACCTCTCCAGTGCTGTTTTTAGAAACACACACTGGCCCGGTGGTGGCACATGCCTTTAATCCCAGCACTCGGGAGGCAGAGGCAGGGGGATCAAGTTCAAGGTCAGCCTGATCTGTAAAGCTACAGAGAAACCCTGTCTCAAAAAACCAAAAAAAAAAAAAAAAAAAAAAAGACAGAAAGAAAGAAAAGAAAGAAACACACACACACACACACACACACACACACACACACACCACAACTCAAAACAAACAAAGAAACAAATACAAAAGTCAGCCAGGTAAGCCAGGTATATGATGTTCTGACTGTAATCCCACTTCTGGAGAGGTGGAGACAGGTTGATCTCTGGGGTTCACTGGCAAGACAGTCTAGCCTAAGTTATTATCCTCAAGGCCAGCAAAAGATCTGGCTTCATAAGCAAGGTGGATAGTACCTGAGGAACAATACCCCAGGTCAACATTTGGTCAAGAGATGCACA